CCGCCCAGCGCCCCGCCGGGTCCTGCGGGACGCCGGACCCGCCACCCCGGAGCCCTGCAACGTGCTCCGGGACACCCATCTCCTCCATCCCAAAGGGCTCCAGGACCCTGTCCCCTCCATACCAAAGCCCTGCAAGGTGATGGAGGACACTCGTCCTCTCCATCCCAACGGGCTCCATCCCAAAGCCCTGCAAAGTGATGCAGGACCCCATCCCTTCCATCCCAAAGCTCTGCAAAGTGATGCAGGACCCTCTCCCCTCCGCCCCAAAGCCCTGCAAGGTGCTTTAGGACCCTGTCCCCCCCATCCCAAAGTGCTCTGGGACACTGGTCCTTTCCCCCTCAAAACCCCTGCATAGATGGTCCAGGACACCCCGAATGGCTCCAAGTCCCTGTCCCCTCCATCCCAAAGCCCCGTGGCCCAGCTCAGCCCATTCCTCTCCCTGTCCCTTGCTTGCTGTGCATCCCACCCTCCCCAGCTCTGACTGAGCAGCAGCCGGGAGCCAACGTGGGCGGTGCAGCAGGATCCGGCCACCGGAGCCCATCACCCCACATCAGGGCTGGCAGGGGCAGGCAGGGAGGGAAGGGCTGGTGGCTAGAAGTTTTCTTTGAAGAAGCGGAAGCCGAAGTGCTCACAGTGCGCCCTGATGACTTTGGCAAGTGCCGGCGAGCCACAGAAGAAGACTTGGACTTTCCCTCTCTTCTCCTCCGCCACCTTCCCAAACACCTAGGGCACAGGCAAAAGGAGAAGAGGAGGTGGTGGCACAGCCCGCTCCTGCCCCAGGGATGGCCAGATTCCTGCCTGCTTTGGCAGCTGCTGCTCGGCACAACTCAGCCTCCCTGAGCCCCCACGGCACTTGCGGGAGGGAGAGGCTTCCCCAGGTCTGGATATTCCGGTGCATCCTCCCGCTCCGAAATGGGGCTCTCCTGTTGTGTCCCCCCAAAAAAGACTGGGTTCGGGGGACATGGCTCCCTTCCCATGACCATGATTTTGGCAGCGGGGCAGGGCCAGCCCTCACCTTGCTCCAGTCCGGGCGGCCGGGCTGGGTCCTGGTCCGCAGCCCCGTGATCGAGTCCCTCTGCTCCTTTGCGGCCAGCAGGTCCAGGGCCATCTGCAGCCCGATGGCCTTCATGTCATTCTTGCTGAGGGCCGATGTCATGTACATGTGCATCTCCAAAAACCGCCCTGGGTGTTCAAGGGGAGCCTGGCTGCAGTCGGGAGGTCCAGCCCCACACCGTGCCCCGTCGGGTCGGGTTGGGCTCTCCTGGGGGCAATGCCAAGCACAGGGCTGGGCATCCCCAGGTCAGCGGGCCGCGCTGGCTGGCCCCTGCCTCCTGCTTACCTCCCGGCTCCTGCTCAGCCTGCTCCATTTCCAGCTTCGTTAGCAGGCTGATGAACCACTCAAAGTGCTTCTGGTCTCGGTTTATCCAGATGAAGTCAACCTGGAAGGACACAGCAGCCTCTGCTTCGGAGCTGGCAGGCAGCATGGGGACCAAATCCAGCCACTCACCTCCCCAGACCTCCCGGACTGGGAAGGGATGCTTGTGGCCTCTCCACCCCCAGAATCCTGCAGCCCTCCTGCCCCTGTCACCAGGGCAAACCTTGGTCCCGCGTCCCCCTCCGCCTGCTCCTACCTTCCTGAGCGTCATCTCCTCATCCCGCAGGTCCTCGCACCACGAGTAGTGGCAGCTAGGGCAGCTCTGCTTTCGCCGGCGGTACCTGCACGAGCAGACAGAGCCCTGCCTGCCCCTGCCTGCCCCACTGCCCGCACCCCTCAGACGCCAGCAGACCTTTGCAGGGAGACCCTGAGCACCTGTTCCTCACCAGCTCTGGTGCATGCCCATGGCCAACCTCCTGCCAGGGGGTTTCCTGCAGCAGAAATCCCCAGGGGGAAGCCTGACACTGAGGGAGGACGCAGCTATGGGTCTCGTGGACATGTGTTATGAGTCATGAGGTTACAATTGAGGAGGAGCCATGATGGGTGCTGCCCCATGGTGCTCATCCTGCAGGCAGAGGTGTTGGAGGGCAGGTCTACCATGGCATACATCACGTCTTCTGACTCCCAAAAGAGTCAGAGCTTGTATTGGGGGTCTACTGGCGTGACCACAGCGTGAGCTGCTGCTACGGCACCAACCTGTACATGATGCTCTGCAAAATGGAGGCAAAGGGGGTGATGCCGATGCCCGCACCGATGAGCACGGCATGCTCCGAGGTGAAGATCCTCCGTGTTGGGGTCCCATAGGGGCCATCGATGTAGCACTAGGAGAGATGAGAAATGGGGAGAGATCCAGCAGCCTGTGGGTGCTAAAACAACTTTTAGGCTGCGGATGGGAGCAGGGTTAGTGCACAGGTGCATTGCAGGCTTATGGAGCCCAGGCAGAATTTGGGGTCTTTTATGGGAGTCTTATGGGAGCAGAGGCAGAGACCGGGGCCAGGCAGGAACGCAAAGCTCTTGGCAGCACAGGGTTTGCCTCAGCCCCCAGCAGGACCACCCGTGCACAGGGACACGTGTGGGGTGGCCGGGCACACGCATGGGTCCCCCCTGGGGATGCTGAGCACAGCCCTGCTCACCGGAGCCAGGGAAGGACCGAGGCATCCCTCACCTTGATGCTGCAGAGCCGATGGGTCTCGCCCAGCCCAGTGGAGACCTGCAAGGTAAAGAGAGCAGTGACCATCCTCCTCCCCACCCCTAAGCCCTCCATGACAGCTAATGCTAAACCCACTTGTTCCCCAGGTTTGGTTTTTGGGTGGGTTTTTTCCAGCTGGGTTTATCCGGGCTGCACACACCGCTTCCAGCCACGTCCCTCAAGCCAAGCCCATTGCAGTGCCCACACTTCTGGCGGGACATCCCACCAACGTCCAACACCAGGAACCTGTCACCTGATGATGTTATCCAGATCGTAGTTGGTTTGAGTATTGATTAAAAAGGCAATTATCTAAATCCCCACACAAGTTCGGGGGTGAACAAGAGGTTTCCAAGGACCGCGATGGCCCAGGCAGTGGGAGCAGGCGTGGGGAACCCCTGCTCAACAGGGGACAGATAAGAGCAAAAGAGGGACAGGGAGAGAAACTCATGAAAAATGATGCATGTAAATTCATTATCTGCAAGGACTCCAGCCCAGGCAGAATCAATATCCTGAGAGCTTTTCATGTTGGGGGATAAAAGCTGCTAACTATGGCTTTCAGCGTCCTGGCATTGCCACGATTTACATCTAAGAAGTTTCTTTTAAAAAGAGCTTTTCAACAAGCTTTGGCCCATTTGGGATGGAAGTGATGCTTCCCCTTGTTTCTCCAGGCTGGTCCTCCAGCCGCTGCTGTGCTGATGAGAGTAGAGACCCGCCCTCCCCGCCCCCAGGCACCAGGGGCTCTGCCTTTGCGCCCCAGGGAGCGTGGGAGACTCGGTGGCACTGGGCAAGGGTGGGAGATGGTGCTCACCCCCACTGCTGGCAGGTCCTCCTCTCCTGGGGCAGCAGCACCGGTGGCTTTGTATGACATCAGCTGAACGGCTCCGTCCCCGCCGGTGGCCACAGACCCCACTTCCAAGTCAGCCCTGCTGCAGAGACCTTCCTGGAAGCCAAAGGCCAAGGCATCACTGGCAGTGATGCTCGCAGGCATCTGATGCCCCATCCATCAGGGTCATACAGCCTCGGCAGAGAGGTGGAACACGAAATCCTCCAAGGCTGCACAAGCACCTTGCAGGGGAGGCGCACCACCACCACCCCCAGCACCCAGCATGGGTGCTGAAAACTGGGGTGACCCCGGCGGGAGCCACTCAGCAGACAGCATCCATCCTGGACCTGTCGACACTTCTTCGCTTTTTTGGAGCTGGCCAGGGACAGACCGTACGGCAGAGCCCTCTGCACATGCCAGACAAGGACATCGGCTTGAGGAACCCATGGGCACACTGGGGGGTCCTCAGCCTGGCAAAGCCATCACCCTTCCTGCTCGGGGGGTGCAATGGGGAGTCCTCACCCCCTCCTTGCAAACGGCTGCCAACCAGCAGCATTTTAAGTTCTAACCTCTGCGTTTGCTGAAAGTTGAGCCCCATTGGCACCAACCTGCGCCCAGCGCCGGCATCTCTTCTCTCTCAGGCTCCTGCTGAGCGGTTTCGGCTCTGGGCTGGGTGATTCGGGCTGCTGGAAGTATTCGTACAGCTTGTTGGTCCACTGGCCCAGCGACCTGATGTGCAGCCAGAGGGTCTCTGCAGGATGAAGTGGAGCAGTGGGTGGGCATCCTACGTAAGGAACTGCCCTGCAGCCCCAGCACTGCAGGCTGTGTACGGCACAGCTCCGGCCCTGGGGACCCGGCAGCAATCCCTGCTGACGGCCTTCACGTTAGCCCCAGGCTTGCAGCAGGGGACTGGGTTTGCTCTAACAGCTGGGTGAAGCCCAAATGCCAAACCTTGGGCACTCGTGGAGCTGGGCAGGGCATTCAGGTGCCATTTGGTCACCATGCCTTGCTTGAAATAACCCAAGCACATGTTTGTATATAACACATGTACAGGCAGAGGTGGAGGCAGGTGAGTTGAGGTATGTGTGAACACATGCTGCTCTGCTCCATGGGCATGGACACCTCCTTGCACGACCCTCAGAGGGGATCCAGCTGCCCTGATGGGGCTTGTGTGATGCAAAACAACATCCTGGTGATGCAAAACATCCCCGTGATGCAAAATGAGTGAAGGATCGGCGATCACCTTGCTGCTCGGGAGCACTGCTGATGGTGAAAGGGTGCCACTCGTAGGTGGCAATGGCCGGGATGTTCAGGTAGACGTAGTCGCCAGGCTTGTAGTGGAAAAACTGCGGTCTCTCAATCACAAGGTGAGTTACCTGGAGGAAAAAGGAGGACCAGAGAATCTGGGAGCATCCAGCGGGCACATCACACTGGTCGGTCTCTGCCAGCGTGGTCTCCCTGCAGCCCACAAGCACCCGGGTATGTGCCTCTCATTTTAAAAAGCAGCCAACATGAGACGGACTTACAGCTTCGACCTGAGAAAGGGGTTTGTTCTCCTACTCGCTGCCCACTTCACTATCAAACAAAAATCTCAGTTAGGGCTGGCCTCGAACAACAATTTTTTTGAAGAAACTAGGAGTCAAAGCAGTTTTCATTTTGTCTTTTGTTGTTCTGTGAGTTTAGGGATTTTACTTGAAAAATAGGCAAAATTCTAAATTTAAAAATAAATGCTTGAAAACAAAAAAATTGCTTTCACCTTTTGCTGCAAGCATTCACCAACGCAGCCTGAAGCAACCCAAACCCACATCTTTTCAATACAAGCTATTCATTGCGCCCCGTCCCTCCCGCGCATGGCTGGGGGAGCATCCCCCTTCCAGCTCGCTGTGCAACACATCGGGGCCATCATCCCCTTCCATGTCCCACTGTCCCTCCTTTTCCCCTGCGTCGAATAACCAGCGTGGTCACTTGCAAAGTGCTTTTCCCCAAACTGGAAAACGCTTTGCAAATATTAAAGGTATTTCTGTGAGCCGCAGCATCTTTATTCCCACTCTCAGAAGAGGAGGGGGC